GGATCAAATGACGGCCTACAAAGAAGAGATTGAAAGAAACGTGAAGAAGATGAAAGAGTTGGACGCTACGATCGCGAAGAAGATTCGAGAGGCGGCCGGTCTCGAAGACGAGATCGCCGTCCTCAAAGAAGGGAAGGAACGTGACGGACGGAAAAATAAAAGGGTTGGGGGTGCAGCTCGCTAACAAGGGACGCGAGGCGATCGCTCTCAAAGACGAGATAGCCGCATTGCAAACGGACCTCTCGAAAGCGCGCAAAGAATGCGCGGACGACCGGAGTGCCGAACTTTCCATCCTTCTAGAAAAGACGAAAGACGAACTGCGACGGACGTCCCGCGATCTGGCGGCCGCCAAGGAAGCCGAGATTAGGCTGAAGGCGAACCACGAAAACATCGAGAAGGAGATCCCGCAGTGGAAGCAAAGGGTCGAAGAATTGAAGAAGGCACGAGACGAATCTCACGAATCCCACGTCAAGGAACTGGGATCGCTTCGAGACGATCTCGAGAGGGAGAAATCGGCGAAGGCGAGCCACTCGGACGAGATCGAAAATCTTCGAACGCAGATATCATTTCTCAAAGAAAAGGAATCGAAACTGAGAAGAGACACAGGTAAGTTGCATGCGGCCCTAAAGGAACGGGAAGAGAAGCATCTCGATCGGATAGCTAAACTGGAATCCGATAAGATTTCGCGATCGGCCGAAGCGGAAGAGGCTCTTGACGAGTGCGCGTCCCTCTCGGAGAAACTGAAGCTCGCGACCGATTCCGAACGTCGGTCGAAGGAGGACCTTCATAGGTGGCAAGCCGAGAAGAGGTCGTGGCAAGCGACGGCCGAACGACGTTCGGCAGATCGGCAGAGTCCCAACTTTCGAACGTTGACAAGAATGTAACGGATTCGAAAGAAACGGATTCGTTGAAGCGGGAGCTGGAAAGACATCGACAGGAGATCCGACAACTCGAACGACTTCTGAGCGACGAAAAGAGGGAGAAGTCGGGTGAATCCAACGATTCGACGCCGTGCTCGCGCGACACGTGCTGTTCCCTTGGACGAGCGAGCATTCGAGGGTGATATCCTGTCTCTTATACACATCTAGATGTGTATACGGACAAAAGTCTGTCGAATTTGTACGACGAATCGATGAAAAAGGTTGTCCACCTCGAAGAATCAGTGTTTTCGAAGAACAAGGAAGCGGACGAATTGAGATCAGATTTGACGAAAACGAAGATGGAGCTGGACGAGATCAAAAGACAACTCAACTTTGCCAATAACAAAGTGGCGGAGGCGTATTCCGAAGTGACTCGTATCGTCGAGAACTCGGAAGACGGACGATCGCACGAGGAATGTCGAGAACTTCTCACACGACGCCTCGATGAAGTGGAACGTTCGTTGGAAAAGGAAAGGATGACGGCGGCCGATTGTGCGCAAATGAACAAAGAATTAATTCGACATATATCTTATCTGACGAACGAAATAGAAACAGTAAATTACGGCCGAAGTGTCGAGGTAAGCAAATTGCGCCGATTACTGAACGATTGCAGACGCGAAGGGTCTCAACGACAACGTCGGGAACCTCCCGGTCGCCGTAACGTCAGTCCCAGCTACAACGTCGTCGAAGACGCATGTTCCGGAAGTTCTGCGTGCGAATCCGAAGAGGAAGTGGACGACGACGTTAGCGAAGACGTCCTCGTCGGCAACTCCGAAGAGAACGAAAACCCCCGTGAGCACCTATTATATATTTTCAGTGCTAGGTAACACAATGTGTACGATTAATGATTTTTTGAAACGACGTCAACACACACGAATTTCTTTACTGACAAAAAAAAACGTTAAGGTTTATAATGTTTTCCTTTTATGTTGGTAACAACAGTCTATTTCTATGACAGCGTATTGTAGCTAATTGACATTATCATATTTACCGCAATTTAAATGCATAATTATAGCCGAAGGGAAATTTCTTCCAAAGTATATTGATTTCGTACACAGACACTTGCATTTTTGGTATAAACACGGGCATATTTTCTTTAATAAAATACTCTTGCTTTAATAATTTTCATGCTTATTTTTTGTACGTATTAATTATTATATATAGGCCTATTATTTTACAATTACACGAATTTATAGGCCCCATTTTTGGACGTAACGAACGCTCAAAATTACTAGGCTATATTATACAGACCGATTTTACTATTACACAAAACCAGGCCTACTTCTACAGAAGACCGTCATTGTCTAGGTAAATAAAGTGTCTAGCCATATTAAGGCGCATTCACACCGAATCCGAATTTCCGGTTCGGAAAGCTTACTGAACCGATCAGAAAATCAGTTAAGTGTGTAAGAATAGGACGCTGGCGTTCAGCGCAATTGGAAATGCAGTCAAAATTTTGGTTCGGATCCGATGTGAATGCATGACAAACAACAGCAGTTTAAATATTGTTACATTTATTAGCTCAAGCTTTCGTCCACAGTCAACACAGTGGACTTCATCTTCATCTAAATAGTGTATATTTCGAATAATTGGCCACGTAATAAATAAAACAAACAAAAAAATGATTTGTATGGTTATCTAATTTTAAGATATTTTCAAAACCGATGGATTTCAGTGCTCATACGTTTAAGGCGGGCACTCACTACGCCCGACGCGTCGTCGGCTGACGTGAACGCTACGACGCGCGCGCAACGGATCGTTTTTAATGACGATCCGCTCAGACTACTATCAGCAGACGGCGTCGGGTCATCTAACCATCACAAGGAGCAGAGTTGGACTTGTCGTGCAACCGTCGGATGACGCAGTGAGTGCCCGACTTTAGTTGGCCTGTCCAAGAAGTTTTTAACCTCTTGTTTCTACCTAATTCTGTTGTTTTTAAGTAATGTATTGTATCTGCTCAACACTGACCCAAAATACTAAAATAACGAACCGCAGCTCTTTGAAATGAAGGCCTAAAGGCAATTCATATCTACTTTAGTTGAAATCCAGAAGTGTTGTTTCTAAAAAGACTAAATGACACTGTTCTTAGACTTGATATATCTCAAGAACATGTATATTGATTGAAAGTCTATCAAGTTGCCGGGTCGCCAGCATAACAGTATTGATATACCTCTGGGTGAAATAGGGCCGTAAATGTATTTATTACCAGGGAACAGTGAAATTAAATTCACTGTTCCCTGCTATCACTATAGACTTGCAATCAATCGATTGGGTTGTTATTTCTTATAATATTCCGATTTCGTCACATATTTAGTAGTCTAGTTTTGATTGGATGAAAACAAGCCAATGTCAATTTGTCGCTTTAATGTTGGATAATAACTGTATGTATTGTCATTTTATCACCTCCGTTATTAGATTTAAGGCTACATGTATGAGAGGAGTAAGAATGTATTTGTGGGTAGTGAGTATGTTTTCTTCTCCTACATCTCATCGACTGACTCATGGTAACTCTAGCCAGTCGCAGTGGAATGCATAGTACAGTAAAAATAATCATAAATAATATTTTCTACCGTCATATCACTGTAAACATAACAGTAAAACAACTAGGTGAATCATAGAAACAGTGCTCAAATATATGAACTAATAATTATAGTCGTAGCATGTATAGAGTATACTGATTTGCAAATCAGTATATATAATAGAAACCAAACGTTATTTGAACATGTAAGTATAACCTAAATGTAAAAACAATTAACAGTAAAAAATAATAGTAAATAATAGTAGTAGGCCTAGTAAAATCACGTTATTGCCAAAATATTTTAAGGGTACAAATCGGCTAAATAATATTGAATTTCACAATTAATCAAATATTTGAACTAATAAAGTAATCCAGGTATTTTATCCAATGAAAGAGATGGATTAGGCCTATTGAAAAATGAATCGTTTCTATCTGTTTCATCAGCAGTTAATAAACTTGATCCCCTTTAAATCAGCAATTTGGTTTTTAAATTTATTTTTTTAGATTTTTTCAGGTTTTAATCACAGACGAAATCTCTTTAAGTGATTATTTCATTTTAATTTTAGACTATAAGGGAGATTTGCTGTTAAGTAGGCCTTGATTAATAATGTCTTTCATTAGCAAATACAAAATCATTCATTATTGCTATACAATGAGTAGTAATATCTATTAACTGAAACAGCTCCTCGTGCTATAATCACCCCATAAATTGAATTGGTTTAAAATACAAATGTGAATAAACATACACGCTACAATTGTGAATCACTCGACGTTTGATGAGATTAAAAACAAAAGATAATTAAATCGGTGTATCGGATGTACCAGGTATGTTCGTTGAGTGTACCAGTCATATGGCGCCCTATTTCAAACTCATTTTTTGCATTCCGTACCTCTCTACTACTTTTATTTACGGAGCTGTGTAGCATATCACCTTAACAAGCCAGTGAATAATAGAATAGAACAGTTTACAACTACATTGAGCTCAATGGTTAATCAAAAACCTAAGCCGAGGATTCGACAAAAAAAAGTTGAAAAAAAAAATGGTTACGACCTTCACCCCCCCCCCCCCACACTTTTTTTTTAATATGCTTTCTGTGTCTTTGAAAAATCAGTTCTACAAGCATACATAAAATTTCTTCAGAGCTTGCCTAAGACATGAGTGTAAGCACTTAAACATGAGCCAAGGAAGTCATGGTAGATTTTAAAGGCATTTAGGGCATTCTGTATACGATCCTTAGCTACATTTAAGCAAAGCGGTATTAAAATAACTGTAGTCTATTCAATACCTCCTTGATTTAAGGTTATCAAAGAACAAATGGTTACGACCTGAGTGGTTACGACCTTCACCCCCCCCCCCCCCCACACTTTTTTTTTAATATGCTTTCTGTGTCTTTGAAAAATCAGTTCTACAAGCATACATAAAATTTCTTCAGAGCTTGCCTAAGACATGAGTGTAAGCACTTAAACATGAGCCAAGGAAGTCATGGTAGATTTTAAAGGCATTTAGGGCATTCTGTATACGATCCTTAGCTACATTTAAGCAAAGCGGTATTAAAATAACTGTAGTCTATTCAATACCTCCTTGATTTAAGGTTATCAAAGAACAAACATTACCATCCAAACAAAATGAATGAATTTGTATATGGAATAATAAATAAAACTATAAGCATTATCTTATTTTAATAATTATAAAGAATCTATCTCATGGATTACACTCTGTTGTACCATTGTAATATTATTAATATTAATTAAGTGATAACATTCGTTACTTAACGAAAGGCTATAGCAGATCTAACAAATCGATTTTTCTAAAAGGACATCATAATGCCGAAGGCGCTATTTTCATTCGTTGGTTCACGGCTGTCATTACAATGAGTTTAGTCACAAGTGTTTTCCCCTTCTGAACAAACATTCAACACGCTATAGGTAAGCACACAGGGACACAATACAATTATCCGTATTTCTCAGGCCTATACGGTGCCAAAGGAGGATATTTGCACAATGGTACCAACCGTTTTAACATCTCTTTCAAAATATGAGTGATGCAATAATTCTATGAATTAGGCCTATTTTACGATCTAAATTGTGTTTGGTTTTTGTTTTTCAGTTTGTAATTGCTCGGAGAGCCAGGAAAAACTATATAAGGAATTAATGACCAATTACAACCGATTGGTCAGACCCGTTGTTAACAACAATGACACTCTAACGGTGTATCTTGGCCTCCATCTTTCACAGTTGGTCGATATAGTAAGTGCCAGCTACGTTGTAATTATAAATATAGATTAGTAATTAAAAGAGTAATTTTTGTGGGGAAAGGTGTTAGATACATCACATTCTTGAATGGAAATACAAATTCAATGAAATATTTTATTTGCCGTGTAATGCGTCATGATTCATAATAAAAACACAGGTAGCACTTTATAGACTGACTTCATTTATTTATTACACAAGCTTTCGCCAGCTGTCTATGCTGGTTTCATCCGTAGTAGTTAACCGGATGAAGCCATCATAGACTACACCGGATGAGCCAGCATGGCCGCTGGTGAAAGCCTGTGTAATAAATAAATAAATGAAGTTATTCTATAAAGTGCTCAAATTCAAATTCAAATTCAAAAATAGTTCAATATACCAACAGGAAATTCATTTGGCCATGGCATAACAACAAATATAAAACAGTCTTTGTCTCTTTTCGGAGTTACTGTCTTTTTGTTTTATTTAAGACTAATTAGTGGATCCTCTGATTTTTGTACCAGTGTTTGTATTTTCATACATCTACTACCAGACCAACACGGCTTCATCTACTATTATATGACTCATAATGTTGATCTTTCTAAATCTCTGTCCACACTGTGATGTGTGTGAACTATAATGTGTCACAAATATAGTGTGCTACGTGTGTATATGTGACATCATCGAGCTCATAATGAGCAAATCACAGATATTTGCTACAAAAACAATTGTGAAGACAGAACATATTGACGCACAAGAAATGCTACCCACCAGTGGTACGGTCGGTGTCACCGTCACATCACACATCAACACCAGTAACTTATAGCGTTAAGTTTTCAGTAGGGTGGTGGTGGTTACGCTGAATTACGTTACGTCTATATAACGTTACGTTCCTCTATGTCTTGGAAGTATAATTTTCTACTGCATTGACCTATGGCAGACCTACATCACGTCGACATATTATATCTCATAACAATCATAATTTGCCCTAAATCCCGTATTGTTATAATTAGAACTTATTGTTGAATTTATATACGGTCATGTGGATTAATGATATTGCATTTTTCATTGTATGAAATGATATAAGATTAATAGCAATACATGTTATTTACAGGATGAAAAGAACCAGATTATGATTACGAGTGTATGGGTGAAGGAGGTGAGTTTGAGTTTAAAGGTCAAACGAAAACATAAATTGCCAAAAGAAATCACCGATAAACAAAAAAGAATTTCAAAAGTGAATTCTTTAGCAATTTATCCCCGAAACTCGGATAAATTGTAAAAAGAAATCACTGATGGAAAACTTAAATTTTATTTACTTAAAGTGACCATTTTTGTTCTTGGTAGTAAATATATATATTTTTTTTTTATATTGAGTGTTTGATATTTTTTTAATGTAACTGAATGTGCGCTGAAACTGTGGAGATCTTTTGGTCGTCGATTCAATTCTCATCGCTGCTCTCCTTGTTTTGCAGCTATAGAGGGCTGAAATGCAAGTTTCAATAGCGCACTGTCTTTCGGATGAGACACTTAGCCGTTGGTACCGTGAAAAATTCAGGCCATTTAAAGAAAGCAGTTAGGCCTCCTGGGGTACTGCCCAATCACCACCAGGAGGACCTCACTGGAAATAGGTTTTGACTTTCGTGGGTTATCCTTGGAGTGTTGCACACCGAAGAAATCCAAATCCATATAGGCTAATGTTAATATTTTTTTATTTGGAATTCCCTTTGTCTGCAACATCTTGGAGAGCTTTACAACAGGCCTAATGCCTTTCGGGTATTGGCTAGCTTTCTTCAATCGTTAATTTCATTTTGCTTTTTTATTGTGTATGTATAACAAAGACCAGAAAAGACAAAAAAAAAATTAGAAAATGATGTCGACCCAAGCTAACATCAATATTAATTATTGTATTATTATTTGACATGAATATTAATGGTACCGGTATTCCATGTTAATTCGATCTATAACTTTATTCAGAATTTTAATTTTAAAAACGTTCATGAAAATATCAGTAAGGCCTACTATGTTATCACAGTGTCTAAATTGGAAAAAGTCTGGTGTTCAGTTCAGATGCGGCCTGGACTGGCCTGGAATTCAAAATTACGGCTACACAATTTAATTAGCAATACGGTTAAGTGCTCGTTTATATGGAATTGCGAGTCTAGTAACTATCGTCAATGTCATGTAAGTCCTGTTCTTAGTGTAGGCCTATGCATATTGTCAATAGGCCTACCGCCGGGTGATAATGACAACGATGTCAAAGACTATATACCAACTTTCTTGTGTATATAATAGCTGGTCCGATACTGTTGCTAATTAAAAGCCATGCGGATGTCAAAACATTGTCCTTATTTATTTCTCAGCGGTGGGTTGACCACAAGTTGGCCTGGAATCCAGAAAAATTCGAAGGGCTGAAGCAGATACAAATGCCTATAGCGAGTATATGGAAACCTGACATTGTCTTATACAATACGTAAGTTCCCTATCGATGAATTTGCATTTGTACATATTATTTAACTACCTGTACAACGAAAATAATAATTGTATTTTAGTAAGCTTATAAACATTTTTAGTTAAACACAGGTTTTTATAAAATAAGCATTAGGCTATTATAATCATAAATAAAATATATTGTATAAAAAAATAATAATTAGCTCAAATTAATACCTACACCGAAGATATATGTATATAATACAAAACCTTTACAATTTACATGTAATGTAGTTCTAGTTAGTCATTACCACGAGATGTCATAAGTACACTACCTGTGATCATGCCTATATTTTGAAATGCACAAATATTTGTCACAAGAAGTGTTGATAGTGAGATCATAGCTAAATAATTCTTACTACTTTGTTTCATGTATTGATGCAGTGCGGAAGGTGACTATGACGTGCAGGTTTTAAACTTTGCTACCATCCACTACAATGGAACAGTCGTCTGGAGTCCTCCCGCCATTTTCAGATCCTCTTGCAGCATTGACATTGAGTTCTTCCCGTTCGACGAACAGCTATGCATCTTGAAATTCGGTAGCTGGACGTATAGCGGCGATGTGATTGATCTAGAGGCGATTTCGAACCGCATCGAGCATCGGGAGTACCGGCCTAACGGGGAATGGGACATCGTCGAAACGAAAGTCGTGAAGAATGCTTTAAAATACCCGTGTTGCGTGGAGATCTATATCGACCTAACATTCAAAATAACCCTTCATCGAAATCCATTGTTTTACATTATTACTCTTGTGTTACCATGTATTCTCATTTCTTTCATGAGTATCCTCATCTTTTATCTTCCCTCCGACGCCCAGGAGAAGATAACTCTCTGTATTTCTGTGCTACTTGCGTTGATTGTGTTCTTATTACTAATACCAGATATCATTCCGCCGACGTCACAGACGATACCTCTGATCGCCAAGTACATGATTTTTACAATGGCAATGGTCAGTATCTCAATTATAGCCACGGTGGTCACCATCAACATCCATTTTCGAACAATCACAACGCATGAAATGCCAATCTGGATTCGAGTTGTTTTCTTGGAATTTCTTCCTCGGCTACTCTGCATGAAAAGACCTGATAGTATAAAGAGGAAGCACATGAAAAAGAAGAATTTCCAACAGAAAAGGGAAAATATAAAGAAGAAGCAACAGCGGACCTACTTGTTACCGAGTCCAGACGACATGTCATTTAGCAGAAAATCATATAATAGGTAAGGCGTATAGACAAACAACATCTAGAACACAGAAGCTGAATATATACTGTCTCTTATACACATCTAGATGTGTATAAGAGACAGGACCAACACGGAACTTAATACTGTAAATACCGACGGTGACTTACCTGTTTTGTGTGCCATGTGTGTATAATATTATATATATATATATATATAATATTATATATTAGTCAGTCATTATACAATAAACTCTAACCGTCTTGCGATAACGCTACAACGACAACTTTACTTTTGATTTTCCTGTTTGCCAAGTTTTGTAATTGTTTGCTTGTTTGCTTAACCGTATACAATATTGATTTGGCGTCGTACCCCTTCTCAAGACTCAACTCCATGCTCAACACCTACCACACGTTACTGTATTATACTCTCATCTGTACTTATGAGTGCAGGCCTACTTGCTGTATAATTATTCTGTCATTAAATTCGTTAGATACACGATTCATCATACTACGTTGACGCCCCCAACGGAGGACGAGAAAGAAACCCGGCAACAAGACTCGAATACGCATGTCTTTAAGGATAACTGGAGGCCTCGAAGCAGAAAGTGGAAAGAGCTGTTGGATGCAATTGATTTTATTAAAGAAAACATAAAGATAGCTGATGATGTCGATCAAGTTAGTCGATTATTTTCAATTAGTTACATTTCCCAATAAATATAGAGATATATTTTATGGCTATGAACAATTTGTTTATACAGTACGCATGCTCATACTGTTATTAATATAATTTGTTTTAAATGATGATGAGGATGATGATGATGATGATGATAATGATGATGATGATGATGATGATGATGATGATGATGATGATGATGATGATGCGGTGATAAAATTGAAATAACGTTAAAAATATTAATAATAAAATACTAAGATGGTAATGATGATGATGTTGAAACTAATAGAGATAATGAGAATGATCAGGATAACGATTTCAATTTCATTTGATTCGCAAAACATTAAAATTTACAAAATAAACAACAAGGAACAAGCACAAACGATTGAAAATATGATATAATTTTATGATGGGTATGATGAATTATGATTATTTGTAATGACAACGATAATTATGAGGATGATGAAGAAGATGGTGATAATGATGATGATGATGATGATGATGATGATGATGATGATGATGATGATGATGATGATGGTGGTGGTGGTGGTTGTAGTTTTGTTGGTGGTGAAGATACATATATGATATTAATACGATAATGATGATAATAATGATGGATTATGATAATGATGATGATGAGAAAGAATGATAATGATGAGGATGACGATGATGATGATGATACAATTATACCCTTACTGTACGATTGCATACAGATACCCTTAATTCGAAACCACATTTGGGACCTGAACTTATGGATTGGTCTCGGGGTTTGCTCTCCAGTTGTAGAATTTGATTTGTGTTGAAAGGTTAAATATGGTCACTTGGTAGGCCTACTTTGAGAAGGTGGTCTCAAATTACAGGGGTGTTGAATTAGGCGAACTGCATTTTTTTGTTTTTTGTTTTTAGTTCTATTAAATAATATATCTCTTATTCTTCCCTTCCCCACAGTCTGAGGAAGATTGGCGATTTGTAGGTTTGGTTATTGATCGTCTGCTTCTCTGGGTCTTCACCATAGCTGTCAATATCGGTACTGCGATCATAATACTTAAACCGAGGGTATTTTGGGAAGATTCCGACGCCCATGATACATCCGTGTATGAAGAACCGACAATATTGGAATCTAAAATATTCACAAAAGAAGACTTTCAAGGCGTTTAGAAAATGGACACATTTAATTGAGATGCCCTAACCTTTTACATGATATTATAACGCGAACACATAAAGCCTGGTTCCCATAAAATCGCTAGCTATAGCCGACAGCTTATTGATCGGTGGTATCTGGGAACGTACACAGCGATTCCTTTGAAAGCTCATATTGTAGCAAGACACTGTAGCGATTTTATGAAAACAGGCGTAACTATCTGTCGTTTAGAGTTTTGACTTTGTAGTTAACAGAGGACGAGTAACCCGAGTACATAAGTGTTCACTTAAAAAAAAAAACAGGGTTTTTCTCACTATAATTCCAACACTTTGACATCACAAGTGCTGACATCACAAGTGACCGACGTAATATTAAAACACACATACATGAATGTGCTAATCGAAGACAGGTGTTGACGTCACATAGAGTGACCGACGTAGTATGAAAACATACATACATGAATGTGCTATTCGAAGATTTTGATGTATGAAAATGGTTGTGGAATTAATAAACAGGAATAGTAATGTACATAGCTTTGTAAAAATATAGGCCTACTTATCTCGTTTTATATAAAACACATATAGCTGTTCTACAGTAGTAGGCCACTGTATTTTTGTTTTATACGAAAGGGTTTTGATACAAGTACGTTCATCTTGTGCTCTATTGCTAGCTGCACAAAAAACGTAAATTACTTTTGATGTAAACAATGTTGTGCCAGATAGGCCTAGGCTAATGTAAATAATTTGTGTGAAACTGAGCCGTTATTTCAGTCTTCCAAAACAATTTCGATTTATAAAACAGTACCAGGTCTACATTATGGCCCTGGTGGCCTTTCATGTTATGAAATGGTGTACAGATGGCAGTAAATCTGAACTAGAATTACCCCTTTTCCTGTATTTCTGTGTTAATCTTGCCCCTCGCCAGTAACTGATCTAATATTTCGATCTGCTGCGTGTTACGGTAAACCATTATTTGACTGTAAATTTGTTTTTACAACCATTATATAGAATAAGTTGATTTAAGCTGTTAAATATGTCCCCTAAGGTATGAAATACAAGTGCATTTAGTCTCACGGTCCAGATATCATAATTGACCAATCACATAGCAGTATTTATTTTAACTACAGTATGATGAAAACAAATTGGTGAGGTACTGGTTGATTTTGTATACGCGGATATCCGGATGTTGTTATTAACTAATGCATTAAGCAAAAAAAATCAATTCATGTTTAATTGTTTTGTAGCATGTCTTAAAATTGTTATGTTATATAATTGCGTGCATATGTATACATTATTTAAATAAAGTGTGTGTTTATACCCGTGCTGTCTATTGAAAATATATTTAGCACATTTACAGTATATTCAAGTGTAAATACGATTCCTACGTTTTCTATTTATATTATGCCATAATAAATCACTTGCGTAGGGGAGAGAGGGAGGGGAAAGATGATTACACACAATTGCTTAAATTAATTTTATCAATTACCGTATTAAGTACAAAGTTGATTCTTAAGAATCACAATCGGTTTCTTCAGCTGTTTGTAAGGGTTGCGAGCGAAATGATCCATTTTGTTGATTACATATTCTCATCAAGGACCTGACCTTAAGCTTCGATGGAATTACACATGGCAAATTTACAAAGTGGCTATAACCACGGACGCAGACAAAGGGCTTACATAAACTTTAATCATGAGTAAATATGTTATTATTAGAATTAGGTATTAGTTTTAATTTAGAGAAAAGCGCCTTTCCTTTAGGTTACCAAGCGCTTTTTATAGATATTCATAGGCCTATTGTCCACATGCCAGTTGTGCTGCCATGTGCAAATAGCAAACAACTCCAGTACGAATGGAACAAACGGCTACAAACCAGAGTTTACCAGTCAAACGTTGCAGCCTTCCCAGCAGCACTTAATGAAGACAGATCGTTCACTATTGTGGTGTAAGTCTACAGTAAGAAACCCTAACACTTTGGGCCCACGATCTGCATCTTTTCTTAGTAATTGAAGTGTTCTAGCCACATTGAAATTACTTTAGAAACCCTACAACGATTGCTTAATTATAAAGATACTGAAGTAAAAAAACTAAATTAAATTTACATGGTGTCATCATAGGACCTATTAAAAATATGCAAGAACTAGTGACATCGTATCATTAATATCACATTACTAGAATATCATGGTTCCTCATTGTGTACCCTTTAGACTGTATTAAGGAATAGGTTTTATTACATTTATTTATTCAGACAAGTGCCTTGGGCCCCCAAAAGCATCAAAGTCGCTATGATGAAAGTCTGGAGCCCTAGAAAACTAAACTTAACTACATGTCATTACTTCGCACATGCCATTAATATACTCCGATAAAATTTCAAAGTATACTAAATATGGTCTACATTGGGATATTACGAACGCATTGTCGTTACTTGATATAAGAAATCCTAAAAAAAAGATGCAAGGTTTAGCGCAATTCTCTATATTTAATCACAATTAGATGATTATTGAGGTTTTATTCTCATCCGCCGACACTGAAAAAACTACGGTCTATGAACTTCTACCGATTGCGCCATCAATGACAAGAATGACATTGAGGACGCTATATCATTTCATATTTGTCACGATAACACTAAACACTTTCGGCTTCAATTCACAAGTCATCTCGGCCGTGTTGGTTATAATTAGGCCTGTCTCTTATACACATCTAGATGTGTATAAGAGACAGACATTATGGCCCTGGTGGACTATAGCCCCCCCCCCACGTCGGGGAAGACGATATATTTTGTCGGGGAACAAACAAATAAAAAAAAATATTTACATGTAATATTCGTTTAGCCACCATATTGTTTGTGTTAGCTTTTTATCACAACAACAATTATAATAATAATAATAATAATAATAATGATATTAATAATAATAATAATAATAATAATAATTCAATGAGACTAATTAAAAATAACTTGCGTTCTGTTATGACAAATGCTCATTTAGATAGCCTCATGATGGTTGGAATACATCGTGATCGGTGAAGCAACCTCGACCATGACAGCGTGGTTGACAGATTTAATGCAAAAATTTCCAAAATATAGAATTTCACTTTCAAGAATGAGGATTTCAAAAATAAATTAGATGGTTACATTGCATACTCTTTGTTTCTTGCTTTATAAAAAATGTTTTGTTTTTGGAAGCTGATTTCAACTTTAGAAAGCATAGCCTACATGAAGTCATATTATAGTAACTCGATGCCTATCAAATAAGTAATAAAAAATCGCCATAATTCATCAAATACCCGTGGCTTCCAGGGGCCTTCGCCCCCTGGACCCCCACCGGGGGCCCTAGGCGGCCCCCAGGCCCCCAGCCAAGTGAGACTCGATTCGCTCCACTAGGCCCCCCCCCGGTCGGGGCATTTAGCCCCTCCGTCGGGCAGGTCCTGGCGCCACCACTGTAATTAGGCCTATTTTACATAATATCTCACCTATTACTGAAAGTAGCATTTTGAAGGCTGTGTAATGAAGAATAGGCCTACAATAATTATTATGTAAATAACGCTTGCTTGTTAACTGAGCAGCTGACTGAGAGGTATTGTGCTTCTTGCGCTGAAAACCCCGGTTTAAACTCGGCAGCGTCGGGTTTTAATTGAAGTCTGAGCGCTTGGCTTCTCGAATAACCCCCATATTTAGAGTTAGGCGGGTTAAGGACAGTGTTTGTATCCCTATGTGTCCGTTATGTTGTAGTTAATTTGGGTGGCGCTGCACTGTGGCTGCCGCGGGTCCCCCAGCGGCCCAGCCCGAATTTCCGATTTCCTATTAGAATGAGGACCAACAATTAATAATTATTATTAGTAGTAGCGGCAGTAAAAGAGACGTACTACTCAACACCACCGCTGTTTAGCCCTTTTTATATCAGATTTATTGACTGACAAATTAATTGACTGACTGACTGACTAGCTGACTGGTTGGCTGACAGGCTGACCCACCGACCTGAATAACTGACTAGCAGACAGGCCAGTCGGTCGTTTGTTATAGTCAGTCAGTCAGTCGGTCGGTCAGCCAGTCAGTCAGTCTGTCAGTACTAGTATATCATGGGTTGATGGATCTTAACCATATGCTAAAGTATCCTTGCCATCATCATAATCATCGTAATTCATCTTTGTCCTTGTTTTTATTTTATAATAATCAACCACATAATCATTCTCATCATCCTGCACGATCATCATTATTATCAATATCTGCACCGTCATCATCATTATTAGCAGCGTCATTATTACCATCCTTATTATTGCTCTCATTTTAATAAGCCACATGGTCATAGTAGCTGTACCTTTGGCTAAGCGAAAATGTTCCTACCTTTTGTGTCGTAGAACCGTTCAAGAATCGACTAGGACGTTACGATTTGTAGTCGGGTCTTATTGTGAAGCTCTTTTCGAGGATAAAGGCCAATGTTTGTATCTGTATCGTTCTGTAGCGTATCTAGAAGTCTTAAAATGGGGGGCTGATGGGGGCGCGAATGTGATGTGGGGGGAGGGCTCGATGATCAGGGCGCTAATTCGCAAAATTTGTTTATTTTAGGGGGTTTTTAACTACAACACCG